CTGGTGTACCCGTTCACCTATTCATTTGTTAAACACATATTTATGGGATGCTGCTGTGGTCTGAATGTTTATGTTGTCCCCAAAGTCATATATGGAACTCCACCCCAGCATGATTATTAGGGGGTAGAGCCTTTGATTAGCCCATGGGGGTAGACCCCTCCTGAATGGAATTAGTGCCCTTATAAAACTAGGCTCCCGAGGGACTCCTCACCCCTTCCACCATGCAAGGCCACATTGTGAAGAGGGCTGTCTATGAGGAAGCAGACCCTCACAAGACCTAGATTCTGCCAATAACTTGCTCATGGGCTTCCCAGCCTTCAAAACAGTGAGAAATAAATGCGTGTTGTTAATAAGTCACCTCCTCTGTGGTATTTGGTGATAGCAGCCTGAACGGACATGCCTACTACTGCTGGGCACTGGTTAGACCCTGAAGAGAGAGTAAGAGACACAATTTCCTATTCTGCATGGGTTCTGCACTTGAGTTGGGAAAATAAATAGGATAATAATAAACGTGTACAGGATATTAAATACTGGTATGGGCTATGGTGAAAAATAAAACAAGGTGGTAATGGGGAGTGTTGGGTGCGTGTGTGAGGTTTTCTTTTCTTTTCTTTTTTTTGAGACAGGGTCTTGCTCTGTCATCCAGGCTGGAGTGCAGTGGCATGATCATGGCTTACTGCAGCCAGCCTTGACCTGCTGGGCTCAAGCAATCCTCCTACCTCAGTCTCCCGAGTAGCAGAGAATACAGGCATGCACCACCACACCTAGCTGGCTGGTGGGTAGTTAGCAGTGGTAGTGGTGCAGGAGATTTTGGATGTAATTTGAAGGTTGAACTGGTACCATTTGTGGCAGGATTTGATGTGGGGTATAGGAAAGAGAGGAGTCAAGGATGATTCCAGGACTTTTGGCTTTGATATTAGTTAGTCAGGGTTCTCCAGAGAAACAGAACCAATAATGTATGTGTGTGTATGTGTACATACATGTAGAGAGAGAGAGAGAGAGGGAGACAGATTATTTTAAGGAATTGGGTCACAGGATTGTAGAGGCTGCTGACAAGTCCAAAATCTATAGGGTGGCCCATCAGGCTAAAGACCCAGGGAAGAGCCAGTATGTAGTCCAAGGCCATCTGTTGGAGAATTCCCTCTTGCTTGGGGAAGCCAGTCTTTTGTTCTATTCAGGCCTTCAACTGATTGGATGAGACCCACACTTATGGAGGCCCATCTGCTTTACTGGAAGTCTACTGATTTAAATATTCATCTCATCCAATAAAAGGAAAAGAAAACTTCCTCATAGGAACATCCAGAGTAATGTTTGATGAAATAACTAGGCACTGTGGCCCAGCCAAGTTGACACATCAAATTCACTATCATAGCTTGGCAACTAGAAGAATGGATTTGCCGTTGATTGAGGAGGGGAGGGCTTTAGTGATTCAGGTTTGGCTGGGTGGTCAGGCGTTTGGTTTGGGGCATGTTAAGTTTGAGACGCTGTTAGACACCTGGATGGAGATGCCACGTAGGCAGCTATGTAATGGGTCTGGATTTCAGTGATGAGGACCAGGCAGGGGATAGATGGTTGGAAGTCATCACCTCTCAGAGATAGCATTTAAAGCTCCACGAAGAGGGAATGAGAACCCAGAGGGAGGAAGCACAGAGGGAACCATTCTTATGGGCTCTTTTCTTATCAGGAAGTCTGTGCCCAAGGTGGCTGTCCACCAGCCTGGTCAGAGGACAATTGTGTGGCTTTGGCCTCTGGGCTTCTTGCATTGAGCTCTGCCAGAAACAAACAAACAAACAAACAAACAAAGAAAAAACAACCACCCAACCGAAAGGGCCAAGTCAGTTCTGGAATCACTCGTGGGAGTGGGGTGGGTGGAGCTCTAAGAACATGCACTGCAGTCTGATGTGTTTCAGGCTTCCCCTCTGATGTTCTGGTGAGTCTCAGTGTCATGTATTCATTCTCTCAACACTCTCTTACTATCAGCTCTGCTTCATGTTTGGTATCTCCCAGAAACACACACACACCAGGCACTGTCTGATGGGGCAGACACAGACATGCAAGTGAAGCTGTGTGGCAAGTGCCCTGGGAGCGGGAAAGCCAGGGGTGGGGTTGAGAGGAAGGACAGGTCGCTCGCAGTCTTCTGGCTTGGAATCCAGCCTCTTCTTTGCAGCTAGTATCTTTTGCAAGATGTTGTCAACCTCCATCCACCCAGTGTCATGCCTCTTTCCCTGAGTGTTTGTCTGCCTTCTGGCCGGGCACCTGTACTCTCCTGCACACCTATCTTCTTGGCCCTTGGCTCATCTGCTCTTATTTGGCCTGCTTGGATTGTCATGCCCCAGGCCCAGGGCCATTCTCATGGGGCCATGCCCTATTTCTTTCTTTGCATTTAGCGAGTTGTCATTTTTCCCTCCCTTTGCATAGGGATTCAACTCCTGCAATCAACTCCAGGGTTGTTAGCTAGGACACAGCCCCGGCCTGGAATAATATCATGAGGGCAATTGGAAGTTTCCATCATGTTTCAAAAACCTCATGAACTGTTTTATAGGCAGAGCTTTTGCGTGATGGGGAGGCAAAGGCCTGGATGGCAGAGACTTTGAGATGCTCCGGCCCTTATTTCAGGTCCACCCCTTCTTACTCCTCAGTGTCTCTGCCTGTCCGGCCCAAAGCCTTGAGCTAACTCTCCAAACCTGGCAAAGTTGAAAGCTTTGTCACCACTTTCAAATGTTCTTTTCCATGGCTGGGTGCCAGCACCACACAACCCAGGGTTTTTTACCCCTGAATGCCCATGTCCTCCCTCCTGGTCTGGATTGTAATCTTGCCTACATTTCAAGGGTAATTTCATCCATCTGGCCCTGATTCGGGCATCCCAAGTGTGCCTGATGAAGACTCAGGTGCCAAGATTTCTCAAATTGGTTCCAAGCAGACCCCAAGCAGGCCCCAAGCCAGAGGCTCCTCTGTATTTTCTGGGTAAGATACCCTGTGCCCACCAGAGCATGCAGTGTTCTCTTATGGAGAAGTCAAGGGAGACATAATTGCTGGAAACGCTGTCTCTGGGAAGAGGTTCCCAAGCAGAGAGAGCTGGGCTCACAGGCCGAGTATGGGACCTTGAATCACAGGGGCTTGGCAGGAAGGGGCACTGAGACAGAGGGGATTGGGGGGAGCATGCTGGGCTGGCTGGTGCCTGGCCTCCATCTTACTAAGCCTCGTTCTTGGTGTGGTGTCCCTTCTTCTGGCCTTGTTGCTGTTCAGCAGCAAGGTCTCTCATGCTGGTCCCCTAGGGCAGGGGATCTGCATCGAGATAGAAACTGGAGAAGGGGAACCAGGAAGGGCAAGAAGTGAGAGCCCGACACGGAGGAGGCCCCAAACCAGACTCCAGGAGTTTGCCTGTTGCCAGAGAAGCTGCTGCAGGCCTTTGCTGGTGGGACAGGCACTTGCTGTATCCAGCTTCCAGGCACTCCTGGACAAGCCTTTCTCCCCACCACCCTTTGCACCTGAATTCAGCAATCAGCTCCGGGAAGCTCACTGGCGACCTTGAGCTCAGGTGGAGCTTTCCCTGGCCAAACCTTGGGGACTGTGGAAAGCATCCTTGATATGCTGGACTCACAATCGCTTCCTCCTTGAGTAACCTAGGCCATCAGGGAATCCGAGTTCTGGGTGGTCCTGAGTTCTTAAGTGAAATGCTATTCTAATGATGCCAAGCCAAGTGGCAGAGACACGAGGCCAAGGTGGGGCTCACAGGATGGCATATCTAGATAACAGGATGGGACCCTCAGGTACTGAAAGAGTGAAATGCACTGGGATTGGCGGGAAGCATAACCCATCAGAATCATTGATGAGCTTCCTTTTTAAAAGCTGCAATTTGGATATAAATTTGGATGGATCTGCGAATTGCTTCCTAAACATGGAAGGAGAGTGATGGAGGAGGAATAATTGTTTTCGTGAAGTGGAAATAAGTTAAATTATTATACTTTGTACAGGCCTTGAAAGTGTTTGAAAATGTTGGTTTTCTCCTGTTAGTGAATATTATTTGCTGGCTTGTTTGCACATTTTAAAAAAATAGCACATTAAGTAATTTTAGTGTTCACTGTTTGAATTCTGACCTAACTTTGGAGGAATAACTTATATCCTTTGAAAGAATCTGTCTATACAAACAGATAATGGCTATGCTCATTGGCATGATTTGTATCTCCAGTACAGACCCTCCCCTTTCAATTCCGTCCCCCACCCCTCCACATTACCCACCAATAATGACAAAGCTTCATCCACTCAACTTGCCCAAGTGTGGTTTAGTTTTGAAATGTAAAAGGGCTGTTTTTCTTAACATGGCAAATTTAGATTAAAATTTAGACATGTTAGTAGTCCTGAAGTGTTTTCTGCCAGCTGGCCTGTACAATTTCTTATGGACTGGGATAGAAATGCATTGGGAGAGTCAAGAATATGGGCTCCATGGGCAGGCACCACATCTGTCCCATTCTCCACTGTACCCGAATGCCCAGCATTCCCTGGGACTCACATCCTGTTGAGCCAACGTGCCAGAGCAGAGCCACTTCCCTCCCAGGGTACAGCATCAACTGATCCCAAGGCTTGGCCTGAGATGAGCCCTTTCTCCTTGGGGCCTGGGGCCCAGTCTGCTACCCAGCCCCTTGGGGGAAGGCTTTGGACTTCTTATGTTCGAGATGCCTGTTAAGTATTCACTGGGAGATGCCAAGTAGGCCGTTAGATCTATGGGTCTGGGAGAGGTAATTTTAAATTGGCACATACGTGGTTTCTAAAGCCCCATGGGACAATTGGAAATTACCCAGGGACAGAATGTTGGGAAAGAAAAGAAGAGGTGGGAGTCGCTTGGCTCAGGAGACTCCTATATAAACTCTGGAGAAATGAAAGGAACCAGCTGAGGAGTGCTTCTGAGGCAGGAGGAGAACCAGGAGAGTGTTGAGGACATCCAGAGAAAGTGCTAAGAATTAGCCTCTCAGGGCTGCCAACAACCAAGTAAGACAACTGAGTGGCTTAAATAACAGAAATTTATTTCTCATAGTTCTGGGGCTAGAAGTTCAAGGTCAAGGTATCAGCAGGGTTGGCTCCTTCTGAAGACTGGCAGGGCCTCTCCGCCAGCTTCTGGGGGTTTGCAGGAAGTCTTCAGCGTCCTTGGCTTCATCTGCATCACCTTGCTCTCTGCCTTCATCCCCACATGGTGTTCTTGAGTGTATGGCCCTGCAACCAGATACCTCATTTTTATAAGGACACCCACTATATTGAATGAAAGACCCACCCTACTCCAGCTTTATCCCATCCTTACTAATTATACCTGCAGAAGAGCAGAATCAGTGGAAAAGAAAAGACCAGAAGGCACGGGCCACTATGGCATAGTGGGGCGAGAGTCTAGTTCTCCTGTCTGAGTCTTTCCCTGCAGCCACTGCCTCTCTGAAGCTCTGATAGAAGGTTATAAGTCACTTTAAAACCAAAAACAATTTGCTAAAGAAATGCAGCACAGGGGCTAGGCATGGTGGCTCACATCTGTAATACTAGCACTTTGGGAGGCCAGGGCAGGAGGATCGCTTGAGCCCAGGAGTTTGAGACCAGCCTGGGCAACATGGTGAAACCCTGTCTCTACAAAAAAAAACAGAAAAATTAGCCAGGTGTGGTGGTGCATGCCTGTAGTCCCAGCTACTCAGGAGGCTAAAGTGGGAGGATCACTTGAGCTGGGGAGGTTGAGGTTGCAGTGAGCCATGATTGCTGTGCCCCAGCCTGGGTGACAGAGCCAGACCCTGTCTCAAAAAACAAACAAACAAACAAAAAACCAAAACCAAAAAACAAACAAAAATGCAGGGACACAATGTGTAATGGTATATTGGTGGTATTGGTGGTTTTTATCTTAATGGCAAGGTTCTGGGGGTTGGAAATTTGGAAGTAATGTCACTGAGTGCCAAGTTGGGGTAGAGTTACTGGGGTTTGGGTCCAGGCTTATTACCTCTCAAAGAACTGTACTGCTAATGTTGCATTTTGTGTGGAAGTAAGGGACAATCGAAGGAGGCATTAGGGTATCTGAAAAACCCTTAAAATTCTGCCATTCTGTCCTCTCTCAGTTAAAGCCAGCCTTCTTTGGGCCTCTGTGCATTGTCCCCAAAACACCAGAGATTGTTTCTGAGACAGTGGGCCCCAGAGCCCCCTCTGCCCCACTTCCTTCTTCGCTATCCCAGCCCCCATGCCCACGCTACCTTACCCAGCTGGTCACTCTGGACAGGCTGCCCATGGGCCAAGGATGACACTCATCCTTGGCTCTCTTAATGGAGGCTCCAGATAAGTGAGCCAGGGCAGCATTCTGAGGCCAACAAAACTTTTACCCTTCCTTTGATATGTCAGGCCCCAGCTGTCCTTTTATAAACCTGTGGGTAATCTACAAGCCATGGAAATGCCTACCTGTGGAAATGGGTGATTATCGGTTTTCAGGTGAGTACTTTCTCTCTGTAAGGGTGTTTTTTTGTTTTTTGTTGTTTTGTTTGTTGTTGTTTCTTTGTTTGTTTGTTTTGAACATTGAGCTCCACAAGGCTGGAGAGCTTGAAGAGCAGTTGGATCCATTATCCCCTTAGGTTCTAGCTTCTTGGGGGAGGGGGAAATCATTACTCCTTCATCTCCAGCAGCTGGAGAAACTGGAAAGGGATTAGGGCAGGACCAGAAGAGCAGAAGAATATTCCTCAGACCCCAGGCACAGGAGAGTTTAAGAGTCCTTATGAAAGATCTAGTTCCTGTATCTGGGCTGCCCTGAGGGAGGGCAGCTATGGGGAGCTCTGGGGAAGAAATGAAGCCTAGGGAGCTCCTTGAATCCAGAGATGACCAAACTCTCCTTCTGCTTGAGCAGAGAGTTCCCCTGCAATAAGGTAGACGTGCATTTCTTTGAGCCAAAGAAGCTGAGTGGAACAAGAGGGTTGCTCAGTGCTATTTTCATGGGAAGTTGAACTCTGAGACCAGATTGGAGGGTGGGTTTCCATCAAACGAGAGGACCCTGCACCCACCACAGATTGGCTGCTCCCAGGCTGGTCGCAGTCATTAACTGCAATCCTAGTGGCTGGCTTAGGGGGGTTGCTAAGGAAGCCTTTAAGTGTGGGGTGAAAAGTCGGCAGAGTCTGGCAATAGGGAGTTTGGTCCCCCACAAGTAGTCAAAAGTTTTTGTAGAAATTCCCTTGCTCTGCCCTTTCAGTAGACAACCGTGTTTGTAGGCCCATCTGCTTTAGACTCTTACAGGAGCTGAAAGGTCAAACGTAGTTTTAAAAGGTTTTAGAAACCGGTGGAATTTCAGGGAGAAGAAGTTCTTCCAAATGTGGTGAGAGGCTGTCTGCTTTGCTGAATGGATGTTTATATCTTGTGGTGTGAATAAGAAATGTGATCACCAATGCCCAAACCACTTCCTTGGCTAGTGGGTACCTACATTTTCTGCCAACTAGGGCACTGGATATAATCCTTTGACCCTATTTGTGTTTGACCTCAGAATCTCCCCTTTTCCCCTTGGGTTCTCCCTGAACTTTCCCACATTTTCCTCCTGGGAAGTTCCAGCCCTGCCCACTGGTTTGCTGGGACCCAAATGGCACATGGGCATGGATTGGCCATGGTCTAGGGGTGAGGATGGGGTCACTTCCCTTGATCCCTGGCTCCATGTCTGGCACACAGTGGGGGTTCAGAGCACTCATTCACGTTGGTGGAATGAACTGCAGAAGCCAAGGTGGGAGGTACACAGTCTCCCCCTGACCTCAATTTGATCTCCTAAGGGGGCTCTGCAGTAAATTTGGTCATGCTCACTTGTCACAAAGATATCTCTTAGATGTTTTGGCAGGGTGGGAGCTAAAGGAGACAAGGGTGGAGCAATGAGTACAGCCCAGAAGGATTAAAAGGATTCAATGAGGGCATATGAGAACCATATCTGGCACTCCTAAGTGTTACAAGAGGGCTTCTTAAAGAAATGCAATCTGGGGTAAGAACTGGGTTTAAATTTGGGCTCCATTTTTTACCAGCTGTGGACTTGGTAAGTTGCTTAACCTTTCTGCACCTCGGATTTGCCATCTACACAGTCAGACTAATCATCACTGACCTTCCTACCTCAAAAATCAGGTGCAGTTCTCCACAGGAGCTAATGAACATTTGTGAGAGTGCTTTGTGAACCCTTACGTGCTGTGCATATGGAGGGATCATATAAATAGCCTAGATTATTGTTAATACAAATATCTGGTTGGCCCACTAAGCTGTGGCCCCACTCTTGAGTTTTTTTGGGCATCAATTTCCTGTTCTCTCATCACCGCTTCTCTTCTCATCCCTGACCTTTTTTCGTCTGTATTTCTCCCAACAGCTAAAATTAATTATATGCGAAGGCTTCCCTAAGCCCCTCCAGAGTGTCAGTGGTGGGGAGAAGTAGGGGGTCAGGACACATTGCTTTCATCATGGAGCGAGGCAGGAGGGAAAAGACAGTGGCTGGATCAAATATCTGCCCCTCACATGCTGCCGGTGGGCAGTGATGCTGGTGTTTTGACACGTGTCAGGTGGTTTTGATTCTAACAATTTCTCGCCAGAGCAGTGGGACTTGTTTGGATAAATCAGAACCAGCCTGAATCTGAACTCTTTCTTTCACCCAACAATGGAGTTTGCTCTTCTTTTGTCTCTTCCTAAGTTTCATGTTGCCTGTTCATGGGGCAGCGCACCTGAGCTCCAGGAAAGCGACCCTCATTCTCTTTCTCTCTGGATGATTAATGGGTCTTCCCCCTTCTCAGAGGGCATGTAGGGGTAGAACAGTTTTGTGTAGGTGCAGGGTGAAGATGCTCTTTCCACCTGTGGCCTCTGTGTGCCAGCACCATTTCTGCATCAGAGCAGAAGCCATTTGGAAAGTGATGCATTTTCCGTATCTCCTTCCCTCCCTCCTCCTCCTTCCTGGAACAGCTTTGTAAATGGATCCCACAAGCTAACATTACCAGAGACTTTTAAGGAGGGCATTGGAGATAACAGTGGGCTTAAAAACTAGCAACAGAGGAGTTTGGGTCAGATATAGACCTTGTGGGGACCATGGGTTCCCAGCAGTGCAATTGCTTGGGTCATGTTTGCTGATTGTGAGGCTCCAAAGAGGACCTACTTCTGAATTTTGAGACTGCAAAGTTATTTCCAGAAACCACTTTCTCAGGAGATATGGCCACCAGGGTACCCACAGAGCAGTTCTTATCACATTTGCCCATTCAATGAACAATCAGTAATTGAGCTCCTACTTTTTGTCAAGCCCTGGGGTAACAGAGATGAATGGGTCTTGCTTCCAAGATGCAGGAAAGTTCATCCTCTAGCAAAAGAGATTAAGAGGTAAACAGGTCTTTTTGATATAAGGTGATTTGTTGGGATGGAGGCAGGCCCAGGAATGTGGCAGGACAGAGGAAATATACTTCTCTGGTGTGGGGTAGTCTTGGAAGGCTTCCTGGAGGAGGCAGAGAGAGAGACAGAGAGAGCGAGCGTGTGTGAAAGATGAATTGGCATTAACAGGAAAGGCCACAGCAAGGGGTTGCTGAAGGGTACCCAACTTATATGGTTTGAATGTGTGTCCTCACCAAATCTCATGTGGAATTGTAATCCCTAATGTTGGAGATGGGGCCTGGTAGGAGGTGTCTGGGTCACGGGGGCAGATCTCTCATGGCTTGGGGCTAAAGGAGAGAAGGGCTGTCTTCTCAATAAGTGAATTCTTACCATGTAACATGCAAGCACCTGCTTCGCCTTTTGCCATTGAGTAAAAGCTCCTTGAGGCCTCCCCAGAAGCCAAGCAGATGCCAACACCATGCTTCCCGTATGGCCTGCAGAACTGTGAGCCAATGAAACCTCATTTCTTTATAAATTACCCAATCTCAGGTATTTCTTTATAGCAATGCAATAACGGCCTAACAAACCAACTATCCAGATTTGCTGGGGCTTAGAGGCTTCTCAGGATGTGGGACTCTCAGTGCTAAAACTGAGACAATTTTGGGTGAATTAGGATGGTAGGTCACCCTAGGTAGTAGAAGGGTCACAACTTTCAGAGTTGGAAAGACCTGGATTCAAGTCTCTGCTCTGCTACTTAAAAGTTGTATGACCCTAGGTAAATTGTTGAACCACTTTGAACCCTAATTTCCTTACTAGAGGATATACAGATCACCTTCTTAGGACTCTGCCTAGGTCAGTGTTATCAGTAAGAGGAAGTTATTATTTTAGATGGAGAAAGCACTATTTTCAAATGCTAGACAGAATATGGTTGGAGTAGAGCACAAAGAAGTGGGCAGTAAGCAGTTGACTGGAAATAGAAGCAGGGGCCAGATCATGAGGAATTTAGAATGTTTTCCCTTAGGACAATGGTTAATCACTGACTTAACTTTACAATATGAGTACGGCAGTCAGATTCTTGTCTTAGAGAGATTGTCCTGGAAGTAGAGGGGAGCACAGATTTGAATCTGGAGCGGGGAGAGAGGGTAAGAATGATGCAGTAAAGTGATTACAAACAGAGTTATATTCTGAGAGAAAACAGGAGGCCACCAGCCAGCTGAGGATCAGATTAGGAGCCCCAGAGGTTAAAGGGGAAAGGAACCTCATCTTCTGAGGTCAGAGGCTGCTTGTTGGGTGCAGCCACATGCTAAGCTGGGTTGGAAGGTTACATGCTTACCAAACAGATCTGACACCTGGGAAACTGTGTGCATGAGGGTGACTTCATGAGCTCCTTGAGATATGTTTTGGGTCCTCTGGTTAATGGGCGTGTCCTTCCTCTCTTCTCTCCGTCTTCTTCTTTGGCTTCATCCTGCATGGGAGGCCTCTTGCCAGTGCTTTGCGGCTCATCATCTCCATGGCGATGGAACAATGGTATGGTAAACACATGACCTCACTGTGTAATTATGCAAAAGAGTAAGCAGGGAAAGGAAGCTTGGGGTTTGATGAGTCTAGTTGGGGAGGGAAATCTTCTGAATCAGATGCCTGTGAAGTGGGCCCTGGCCTTGGAAGAAGAAGAGGATGGGCTAGCCCCCTAGTTGAAATAACTTGGATCAGACTGCTCTTTGGAATCAGGAAGGACTTTCTGTAGATAATGATAATCAGAGGAAGTTATAAAAGATAATTGACTGAATTGGCTAACCTCGTACAAATAAGTTGTTTTTTGCATGTAAATCAAATAAATGAAAAGACAACAAATTTGAGAGATTCTTTGCAATAAGTCTAATGTACACAGAATAATCTTTAACATATAAGAAGATTTTTTAAAAAAAGCAAATTGTAGTAATTAAAGAAAAAAAAAACCCTAGTAGAAAATGTGACAAAGGACATAATCAGGAAATTTATAATGGAAAAAAATTTAATTAATTCATTCATCTTTTCAATAATGTATTGAGCCCTTCCTATGCAGCAAGTGTTACTCTATGTGCTGGAGATACAGTGATAAACAAAACAGTCAAAAATCCCTGCCCTTGTGAAGTTTCCATGCTTTCTGCTATTTTTCTTTATGTTTTTCTAATTAGTTTTTTTAACATTAATTCTAGGTACACTCTTTATTCATCTGGAATTATGCTCACATAAAATTGAGTTCAGAATTTATTTGCCCCCTCAAAAGTAAACCGTTTACTTTAGTTAATGCTTTAACCATTAATTCTTCCTCTCCTCCCTGATGAATGACGCTACTTTTATAAAATAATAAATCTCTCTATTTATATGTTTGGAGCTGTGTAGCCTGTCGTGTGATTTAATTCGCAACTCTGATTGCAGCTCCCTGCTGTTTTTATTATTGTGGCTTTGTATCATGTCAGATGCCGTAAGTTTACATGATTGGGAAGAACCGTACAAAAGTGACTTGGACACCATATTGGTGTCTTTCTCCATGAGATGGCACTCACAGTCTTACTTAATTTCCTACCTCTATGAATAATTAGTGATTTCTGAACAGTCCCAGAACAAAGAAAACTTAAGTTTCACAATTTCCAAAGCTGACATCAGGTATTGTCATGCTTCATATTCTGTCGTGTTTCGAAAGCTTGCGTATTTTCCTCTCTCTGGGATATTAGATCTTTACACGTGGATGTGGCTGGGTGGGGTTGTGCTTCTCTGTGTTCTTGAATGCTTCTAGCATGAGGGTGTACAGTACCTGTTAGGGCAGTCCTGCAGGCCTTGCTCTTCCCCTCCTGTCATATACAATTCTTCTTTTCAAAAAATATTTGGGAAAGAATTTGAAAAAAAAAATTAATGTTTCCACCAGGAACATGATATTTCTTCAAGTCTGCTTTTACGTCTCACAATAGATTTTAAATAATGTTTTTTATAGAATTTGTGTGTTTATTCATGAAGATTATTTTTAGGTTTATTATTATTAATATTGTTATTTCACTTTAAATATAATCTTCCCCCCCACTGTATTTTTAAACTAGCTACTTCTGGTGTATAATCATCTATAGATTTGTATATTGTATATTTTTAACTTATTGCCCACCTTACTAAAATCCTATTAGTTCTGGTAGTTTTCTCTTGAATTTTTTTTTGGCAGACTAGGATATATTGTCTACAAATAATGATATTTTGATTTCCTAACTTTTAAAAAATGTTATGTTTCTGTTTCAGGTTATTGACCAGAAATAGAAAATATATAATCATGATAGTACTAGAAGTCTTACTTGCCTTGTTTCTAATTTTGGTAGACAGGTACCTATTATTTCACCATGAACAGGATGTCGATTACAAGTGTAAAATCCTATCTACAGTTTGCTAAGTTTTTTTTTTTTTCTAATCCACAAAACGTATTACATTAAAAAATCTGTATCCTTGAATCTATTAGGATGATCTTATGGTTTTTCTTCTGTGACAGACTGATGTAGACTATTGCATACTTCCATATCAAAGTCATCATTGAATTCTGGGGATAAATACAATATTAGTCATATTAAATTATTATTTGAATATCTCCTGAATTTATTAGTTTTTCATTTGGGATTTTGCTATACTATATACTTGAGCATGTATTTTTGCTATACTATATATTTGAGTATATGGTATTATATATTATAGTATATAACATATAGCATATATATAGTATTAGTATACTCCCAAGTATTAGCATAGTTTTTCATTTGGGATTTTTGCTATACTATATACTCAAGTATGCAGTGTATGTTAATACTTGAGGAATACATTTTTTCTATATTATATACTTGAGTGTAAGTATATAGCATACTCAAGTACGTAGTATAGCAAAAATCCCAAATCAAAAATGAATACGTAATTAACATTGGTCTGTGTATGTATTACTGATATATATTATAGAATGTTATATGTGTATTCATTTGTATATTATCTTTGCCAGGTTTTGTCATGAAATTATCCCTTATAAAAGAGATTGGAAAGCTTTCCATCTTTTTTCTCTGCTTTATAACAATCTGAAAGCACTCATTTGTAAAGCTGTCTGAGCTCAGAGCCTTTTGTAGAGATAATTCATTCACAGTTTTTCTCAGCATGGTTAATAGTTCTCGAGTCAATCTTTTATCTTCCTAGAAATTGTCTATTTCATCAAGATGTTCATAGTAATAAACATAACTGCTCCTACAGAGCACTCTGGCCATGGACTTTAATTAAGTTTATCCTGATTTTCTTTGGAGCAGCTGAGGCAGGCTAGACATTTCTAAAGATAGTAATGGATTACTAAAGGAGAACAGGGAAAAATAGCATAGAAAATTCAAGAAACCGTGGCTCCTGCAGCACATTCTCCAAGCCCGGAGGTGTTTCTTCCCTTATTCCTTAATAAATGCTGCCCCTAAACGTTCAGGAACCCTGGAATGTGGTGAAGAGTTTCAAATAGTCCATAGTCTCTGATCCGTAACATCTACCTTCTAATCCTGAAGGGCTATTAGTTTTTCAGACATCTTGCCAGAAGTTTTTAGTTTCTAGTTCTGGGCAAACTCCAACCAGAAGATTCCTTTTTAATATTGAAATTCCCTCTTAGATATCTCAAAGTTCTTGTGGCCAAGGCCACATGTGTGAAAGGCACTCTGAGCCCGCCCTTGGCCCTCTTTCCTTCCTTCCTGGTGTCCAGTGAGAGGGAGCCCCTCTCTCCATAGACAAGAACAGGCCCTCACACCTAGGGGTGGTGTTGTCCCAGCCTAGACTCAATCCTATTACTTCTCATTTAGCCACATAATAAACATAGTAATGGGAATACTGTTTACTTCACAACAAGGGAGAATGAAAATATATTTATAAAATCAACTGTTGCCCACCCCTAAAAAAATACATCTTGATTGAGAACTCTAAGAATATTTCAATCCAGTTTATGCACAAAGCAGACAAGTGTTTCAGATTATCAGGATGAACCCATAGAGTTTGGAAGACAAACAATTCTAGTTTATGGTCAACATTCAGCCTCTCCAACCTCCAAAAAAGATCTTTGTCAATCAGGTACCAGTTCATACCTCCTAAACTTGGACAGATGGATAATGAAGGTGTTCAGAGCTAGACAGGCTGTAAAACCCTGGTTGAAACGCGAGTTTTGCTCAGGAACTGGCAAAGGGAGAGCTAAGCTGTGGACCTGACCCTCATATGGTCAGCCCCTGTTGATAGGAACTCACAGAAAACACAATCAAGAAGGCCAGGTTCAGGCAGCTGACTAGTGTCACTGCAGTGCTGTGGATGTCTCTTCAGGAGGAGTCCACTTTCAGTGCCTGGTCTTCAGTCTGAAGGTGAGCCCGGAGGTGTTTCTTCCCTTATTCCTTAATAAATGCTGCCCCTAAACGTTCAGGAACCCTGGAATGTGGTGAAGAGTTTCAAATAGTCCAGTGGTTGCTTTCAGACCCCCAAGCCACTGCTGAAAAGAGCTGGCCATGACCCAGGAGCTTGACTTCAAAAGGGAAGCTTGGGCCAGGCACAGTGGTTCATGCCTGTAATCCTTTGGGAGGCCGAGGAGGGTGGATCACTTGAGGCCAGGAGTTCAAGACAAGCCTGGCCAACATAGTGAAACCCTGTCTCTGATAAAAATATAAAAAATTAGTTGGGTGTGGTGGCACGTGCCTGGAATCCCAGCTCCTCAGGAGGCTGAGGCATATGAATCACTTGAACCCAGGAGGCGGAGGTTGCAGTGAGCCGAGATGGTGCCCCTGCACTCCAACCTAAGCCACAGAGCTAGACTGTCTCAAAAATGAAATAAAAAAATAAAGCTTGATCTTCTCATTCCGATTGTACACTCCTTGTTGCAAGGACTGTGCCTTCTCTTTCTACTCTGCTCCCTTAAACTACATTTGTCAATGTTCATTACTGTGGATAATAAAATTCCAAACCAGCACAGATTTGTTTCAGGGAACAAATTCAGTGATGCAGTAGAAACCTGAAATGAAATCTGACCCTGGGGCTGCTGCCTCTCTGGAATGACTATTTTTCTCCATGCTCCACCTATCCTTCAATGACTGGCTCAAGTTTTAGCCTCCCCAGAAAGTTGCATCTGATTACCTGGTCTAAAGGGATATCCTCTTTCCTTAACCTTCCGAATCACTGACTTCATGCAGTATCTCTGAATCTCACTCACTCAACAAATACTACACATACAACAATACAATACTAGTAAATGTTGAGATAGTGATGAAAAATGGAATTAAGATTTACCACTTATGAAGGCAGCCTGGCTTTCAGCAGGAGATTTTGGGATTCAGGGGCAGGTCTGGACCACAGTAGCTCTCCTCCTTCCCCCTTCATGTTCCTTTCATACCATCTCAAATGGTACTAGATTATATTAAGCTGATTTCTGGTGCCAGCCAAGGAAGACCCACTCTGCACTCTCAGGTCACTGTGGGCTTATGCAGGGTTTGTGGAGATAGCCATCTCTGGACAGAGCTGGGAAGTCAGGGCCTGTGTGTC